CGGCACACTAGTGTGCCGCGGAACAGTGGTTGAAAAACACTGTCTTACAGAACACATTACAGGAACACCTCTGACACTGACAGGAAGAAGGGGCAGCTGTTGTGAGAGATAAAAATCTTTCATCAAGAATCATCAAGAGTCCCACTCACCCTGCATATGGACTGTCACCTCCCTCCCCACGGGCAGAGAGCAGTAAGGCATAAAAACCAGAACATAGAAACCAGTTTCCATTTAAGGTTTGGTAGACTCAAGAATTTACTTTAGTCACTAAACGTATGTCTTCTTTCCTTGCTGCCTATTTGGTTTTAAGACTGCATGACATTTATCTTTTGTATTTACAGAAGTACTTAAGATTTACAACCATTTGATTTATAATTTGGGTTATTTCATATTTTGTTTCGTTATGTCTGCAGTCACTTTAGTTGGTAAAACTGAATAACAAATGCTGTTCTCTCCAAGGCAGTTATTATTTTACTAATGATACCAGTCATTAGATAGGTGCTATTTCTTAATTATTTTTTTATGGTTTCTGTTTCTATATTAACATTTAAATTTTGTAAAAAAAAAAAAATTAAAAAAGATGGTGAAAATAAAACCTTAACAAAAAATGCTTAAGTGTCTGAACTGTTTATTTCTATCCATCTATGTCCACTATTTGTTAAATTCTTGTAGACTCATGGGTATGACTTAGGGTGCACCTTGAACAGGTTTTCAGCCCATGTCCCACACCGAGACACTTACAGGAAATGACCATTTGTCTTACATTCATGTTTTTAGACTGTGGAAGGAAGTATGCTAGGAAAGGACCCGAATAAGCCCCGGGATAAATTGCTAATTCTACTCCAAGGACTGGCCTTGGTTTGAACCCAAGATCTTCTTGGTGCCAGGTAACAGCGCTAACAGGAACAGTTTCTTAGCTTTTAGAAAGTATGAGTGAAAACTAGTGGGAGAATGTACCTTTCTATCAGGGAATACTGCGCCAAATGTCTTTCTTTGTGAATACACATCAGGGAGACTTTCAAGAGAGGGTTTCCTGTACAAAGTCATTATTTCAGGATAACAGTTATGCAAACTCTTAACATCCATAAAATATTCTTAAAAATATATCCCCTATACAACAAGCTTAGCTTTAATTCACTTACCATTTATAAATCTTTAAGGTCTGTTTTTCTATGTCTTCAATGGTTGGAAGAACCAGCTGCTGCTTATTTACACTTTTCAAATAATCCTCTGCGTGTCTCTGTGTGTTAGAAGTAAAAGCCATTATCTGTTTGTAATCAGTTCATTTGACTTCTATTAAATGTAAACATTGTCCTTAGCATAAAACTTTCTCACCCTGATGCTACTTTGGGTCCTACTAATGGCATTGTCCAGTACTTTGATATCCAGAGTTGCGCTCTTTTCGTCCACATTGATTTTTTCAATATTGTACTTAAGTTGGCTTAAATCATGTTGAACCTGCAAATACAAACATACCTAAGTCTGACAAGTCGGTGTAGACTAAATTATATAATGGAATCTAATACACAGCCAATAAAACTGAAACATTACCTGAACTAAAACGTCTTCAAATTTATCTTCGTGTTTGGGTATGTCAGCCATTATGTATGCGTGGTCTAGTAACTTTAACCGGAGACAGTATGCTAGTTAGCAATCAAAACTCTTGAAACATTACTCGTAACCATGGCAACAATATTTTTTTTAGAGCGGGTTTAACATTTTCCGGAGCAAGTCTCTCAGGTGCCTGCTCTTACACCAAATTTGCTAATATTCTGTAGGTCTTGCAAACTAATTATGTTGTTTTCTCAACGGTACGCTAACAATGTGCGTAGACATAATTAAATAAGTGAACTAATTAATTACACGGTCTTGCCCTACAAGAAAATTTACAGGGCTAAGATTTCCCATTATTTTTCAACATAGGAATTTAATCTTAGACTATTTCTCCTTAATATAAATATCAGCATTATTATTACTATTATTATTAAATATCAATCCAAGAAACTGCACAGTAAATTAATAAATAGGCTTTTATTGACGTTATTCTTATTTTTAAGAAACCGGAAGTGACTTACGGCGGAACACGGAGTTCAAAGGTTATAGAAGTTAGCTACATCTCAAGCTAGCACCTTAAAAGCGATCTTTAAATATTCGAGAAATGTCATCGCCAGAAGAAAACACTGAGATGATTCTGCCATGTGTGCTTGTCACTAGCACTGACAGTGAATTTAAAGAAGAAGAGCTGATAAAACGTAAGTTTTCGGGGCACAGCCAGTCTGATTTAGCAGGAAAGCTAATGTTAAACAATGCTAACTGAGCAGAGCACCTGACCTGAGCGTTGATAAACAGATTCTGGGTTAAAACCAAAATGTACTTTTCAAATTATAAATTCATAAGGAAAAAAATCCAGATCAACACGGCTCTATAGCAGAAAGAAACGCCACTTGTTATGTTATGAATTATTACAATTAACTAAAGAAAACACGAGACACAGTCATGAACACCTGTCAGACTGGAAAGAATCGAAAAGCCATTACTAAGGCTTTTAGGGGCTCCAGCAAACCACAAAGAGAGCCATTATCCATACATGTAGGAAACATAGAACAGCTCTTCCTTTCTTGCAGGAATGACTGTCCTCCCAAAATTACTTAGAGTGCATCAAAGTCTCATCCAGGAGTTCACAAATTAATCCAGAAAAGCAACGAAAGCACTTTGTTGCCTTTGTCCCACATGTTTGTGATCAAGAATTTGAGGATAGTATTGTGTTGACAGAAAAGAAGGGGTGTGTCCCGTTACACCTAGCATAAAATTAACATGGCATTAAAAAAAAAAAAAGAGCATCATTGCAACAGTCTAACATAGTAGTAATATTTTGTTATTATTATGTTGAACTGGGGTTGCATTGCTTCTTCAGTACCTGGATGGATCCATGAAATTTGCTCTCGATTATGTTCATGCTCCAAAGCCCTCCAATGTGACCCAATTGTAACACACATGCTAAGAAGAATGGGCTAAAATTTCTTCACAAACACTTAAAAAACGTATCACCAATTAACTCTAGATAACAGTTGTTAGCACCAGAGTTGGCTCAGGTATTTAGTAGGTTTAGAGGACAGTTACTTTTCACATAAGACCAGTTGGCTTTGGATATCTTTTTTTTCTCCCTTAACAAGTGAAGCTGTTATTTAAAACTAGCATTTTTTATTTATTCAGGTTGCCCTTGTCTGATTTTGTAAAAAAATGATATTTTACTTAATATTTGAGCTTGAGTTAAAAATATATACATATATATATATATATATATATATATATATATCACCTTAGCTTAATGTTGTCTTTTTGTGATTTTTTTTATTTTATTTTATTTTTTTTCTTCTCAGAAATACTCAATTCAACGACTTTGCCTCAGCCAACTAAACGAGAGGAAACTGTTGTTTGGTATCCTTGGACTATCAATAACAAATATTATACGGCGGATGTGCAGTTGTGTGTTGTACCAAGCACGTATAAAATGTCTGCAGAGATTGCCCAGTCCATGCAGGCTTTCATTGCTTACTTTGACAGCAGAGTGGTATGTGACCTTAAGAACAATATGTGCTTTTGATTTGCAAATCTGTTTTAGTTTGCTGTTTCTATGATGCATGTTGCATGTTTGCAGAAGGATGGGCTGGAAAAGCTAAATCCCTGGATTCCTGTGGTGGAAGATCTCAGCCCAGAGGTGCTTATTCTTGTGTGCGACAGAGTCTGTGAAGACGGTTAGTTAACGTAGTCGGTTAGAATGCAGGATGAATAATTACGCACATACACTTGATACTGCCTCAGCAAGCAAATTAAATTTAATTCATGCTTTAGGTGTCACTCGGCATGAAGCACAACAGTGGTGTTTGTCTCACGCATTTGAGCTTGTGGAGCTCAATCCACAGGAGCTACCAGATGAGGATGGTGAGTTCTGCATGAAAGAGAAAAGTACATTTCCATGACCAAGTCTTCATCTGATTCACTTTTCCTCATCACTTTTGCACATTTCAGATGACTTTCCAGAGTCCACAGGAGTAAAGAGGATTATCCAGGCACTTAATGCTAACGTGTGGTCCAGTGTGGAGATGAAGGATGGTAAATTAATATCAAATTGGTTTCGTTTGATAGAACATAACCCTATATGTCATCGTTTGTGTATGTAGCATATATGACTCTTTGCATCTTTGTCTAACAGGGCACAATCAAGGTTTTGGCCTATTGAGTAGTTTGGTTGCTTCCAGGCATAACAACCCACGCCACAGCCAAGATCCACCGGTTAGATGACATTTCTGTTGACATAAATTGCAGATTTATAAAAGGCCATATTTATTACATTGCCTTTTGTTGGGACAGTCCTCCAGCTTGCCAGCAGAGGGCACACACACCAATGAGGAGGCCAACCACACAGACAACAGTGCAAACTCAGATACACAAGAGGGATCAGTTGTAGGCAAGTAACATTATTTTAAACATTTATTTGGCTAATTTATGAATTTATTGTCCATGTTATTACACAGACTGAACATGATTTTGGTCCTTGCAGATGCAATGACTGATTTAGACATACAGGAACTCGCCAATCTTACTGCTGGGGATGCAGATGCAGACAATTTTGAGCGGCTTTTCACTAAATTAAAAGAGATGAAAGGTAATTGGGGTATTTAAAGCAAGTTCAAATAAAAAAGTTACTCTTTTATTCTGTTGTTGCTTGGTGTGGAAGTTAAATATGTTTATACTTTGTAAACTTTTTTCATACATAAACTTAAGTGCGTTTGTTCAATTTCACCATGTAGATAAAGCTTCATCGTTACCACATGAGCAAAGAAAAGTTCATGCTGAAAAGGTTAGTCATTATATCGCCTTTTTGCTTGAACAACAGTTAAGGCTGCAGAACCTCAAAAATGTATTCATAACCCCCCATAGAAGTGGGATGAATACTGTGCGAGGCACTGCACGTTGTACTCCAGTGGAAAATTATGTTGGATCAGTTCACAAGAATAAAGGCTCCGTTCAGAAACGCACATCTGAAAACTGTTTTGTTTCTCTTCTGTTTTCCAGGTGGCAAAAGCCTTTTGGATGGCCATCGGTGGGGAAGAAGATGAAATA